TTTCAGTAAACGTCAAAATTGAGTTTGTTATTATTTCTATGTAATATGATATTTAGGAATGGAAGAGTGTGGTAGAAATAAATCAACTACAATTTTGATTTAAAAAATGCTACACTCATAAAAAAAGAAAATAACTCAATCAGAAGGAAAATCCTCAAGAGTGCCACCATTAAATATTACCCAAATATTAATCTATGCCCAGGCTTTTCCCTATTTTACCTTTCTTAACAGAATTACTACTCTCACAAACAAAAGTACAAAACAGTATAAAGAAATCAAAAGAAAATGGTTGAATCCGTCAACACAGCAATAAAAATAATATCTCCACATGTGACAGTAATTGACATAATTTCAGTTAACAGGATGAAAATAGCGTTCTCTAAATTCTTCCAGGTGCTAAGGAGATTTTGTTTTGTTATTATTAGTTACTTTTTTTAATAAATTCATTTTGTTTTGACTTGAAAAAGTCCACATCAGACGAAACGCGTCGGCAACTATTACAGTTTTTTATTGTCTTTTACATTTATAAATATTGTCTTTTTCTACAGGTTAACACTTAGAAATTATTTACACACTATTTGTTTAATTGATATATATATATATATATATATATATATATATATATATATATATATATATATATCAAACAAATAGTGTGTAAGTAATGCATTTTGTTCTGAGAAGAATATACGCTAATAACAATTTTATGGAATTAGTTTTTATATAAGAGTTTCCAAACTCTCTCAGTAGTACAGAGAAAATACAAGAAAATACAAATTACAGTTTTCATTGAAACAAATTACAGAATCACTCAATTTTAAATTTTAATTGTGATATCCAGTGTATTGACATATTTAACTTAGCCACTGTAATTCAGCTTTTCTTTTTATTGCTATTTATTTTTAATTATCCCATAGTTTTGTGAGAAAAAGAAATGTTTTATGATCTTGAAAGTAAATTAGAAACCTATAAGTAGCCCAGATTTTACTTTGTTGTTGTAGTGTAAGTGAAAATTTATGAAGCAATTTTTGTTAGTAATCAGATAATTTAAAGACTAGTTATAAAAATAAAGCCAAAAGCAATGAAAAGTTGAAGGTAATAGGCTAAATTATATATTTCATTTTTGATATTGGATGTCAAAAATGAAACTTAAAAGCTGAGCATCCTTATATATTTAAGATTTCAATGTCACTGGTATTTTGTTGTTTCTCTCCTCTGCACCACCCGCACACAGACTTACCCACACTATCTCTCTTATTTAAATGAGTGAATTTATTTTATACTTAATAATGAATAAACTCTTTATGCCTTGTGGTTGGTGTGAAATAAGATATTTTGATCTTATTTAATAAAAGTAACTAATAAACAGTAACAAGCAAACTTGTTCTCATTGCCTGTATTTCATGCAATGTTTTTGAATGGTTAGGTTTGACTGAAGATGTGTTGAGGATGTAATGAATAGGTATTTACCCTGCCCTCCCCATTGACACAAGCTTGGGTTTAATGTGGGGAACATGAGTGTGTATACCTGAGCCAAGGACAAAAATTGCCCAGCCCCTACAATCATCAGTTTCAGTGGTATCAGTATGACTAAAAATCCCCCTCTTTAGGTCAATGGCAGGGGTAACAGCCTCACGCAGTATTTATTTTGCTCAGCATCATCTCTGTCCATGGACATAGATACAACTAAGTTGCACTCTGCCTGAAGACAGAGATGCAACTGAGAGATGATAAACCCTGTGCCATTTAAGTATAGCAATTTAGTAACCATAGCTTACACAAGGCTGAAAATATGGTGCACTCAATGAGACTCAAACTCTCTACTAAGTCATAACTAAGCTAGCAAGACAAGCATGCACCACAGTGAAGTGCTCTGAGGATGTAATGAAGTATTGATTTCAGACAAGTAAATTTAAAATGACATTCATTCTTTATTCTTAAACTGATTTCTTACAATTTAGATATATCTGTTACTATATCTAGTAACAAATATATCTAAATTGTAAGAAATCAGTTTAAGAATAAAGAATGAATAGGCAAATATGTAAATATTTATTACTAGATTACCAAATGACAGCCTATTTTGTCTAGTCCTTATTTTTATGTTTTTATGCATGTGTCTTAATATACTTGTTTTGTTTTTATAGATTTTACAGAGATAATTCTATTAATTTGCATGGTCTGCTATTCTCATAATAAAGACACGGCCACCTAGTGTTATCAGTGCAAAAGAGATAACTCTACTTACTTTGATTTTATTGGATATATTAAAAGCTAAAGTCAAAAATATTACAAATACTCTTAGCATATTTTAGAGTAAGATTACATATGTATGTGCAGTCACACACACTAATACACAGATACATTAACCTCACAGTTTTGGTGTTAGTAATATTATTTTGGAAGCTTGTGGTCTATTTGTTATTGAATGAAATATTCTAGAGCTGATCAGATGAGAAAACTTGCCAAGTTTGACATTTTCAAAATGAAATGAATTCAGTCATGATTAACACATTTCTTTAATGTCTCTTTATCACTTGAAAGGATCATAAAATAGCAATGCAATTTTCATTCTGAATTGATCTCTTGGCTCAGCAGCATTTCAAAATGATGTGCTGATTGGGATTAACAAGTGAAAGAAAATAATTCATTAAACAGAGAAAGAATTTTGATCAAAATTCATAATTTTGATTTGGGTGAATCCTCTCTTTGACAGGTTAAGAAGTTTTGCACATATTTTTATATTATGAATTGATGAAGCTTGAGGAAATGATTACTGTAGAGAGATGCCTTCTATGTTTGAGCATTGCAAATGAAAAACAATCAGAAATAGGAAATTCTTCTTCATGACACATATACTCCAGATTTAATGCCATTGGATCATCATTTGTCTCAATCAATGCAGCATTCTTCATTAGGTCATAAGTGTAAAAATGTCTTTCACTTTTAGAACATTTGAATACTTCTAGGATATTGACATAAGATCAGAAACAGAAAAAATATTTTCATCATAAATTAATATGTCCTAATTATTATTAATTAACTAAAACTAATTTGAATAAAAAATGCACAAGAAAAATTTGCACACATTTAATGTGTGATAATGGGATTTCAAAATAATTCTAGAAATTGTTACTAATTTTCAGACAATAAAAATATATTTTGTATGATTAAACATGTCTCAAATAAATGTAAAAAGAAACCTTAAGAATTATTAAGCATGTATTGTCCTATCATTCATGAAGTCCCTACTGCTGGCCAAACATAAATGGTTTAGAGATACTAATTATTAGTAGCCTACGATGACAGCTGTTCTTATTTAAAATTTAATAAATTTTTGTACAACATTAAATAAAATATTGGAAATATGTGTGTATATGTTTATTTCTATTGATTGTTTTTTTGTTGTTTTTTTTTTACACCATAACCCAGTTCCTTGGAAGAAATGATAAACTGATAAATTCATCCATTTTTCTTCTTGGCCATTCTCACAAAAAGAACAGTTCAAATAAAACATGACTGACAAGTTCAACAAATCAACTAGCAATGACCAATTTATATAAATAATGCCATTGAAACAAAAATGGATGACTAAACTCTAACCAATTAGGTAAATGAAACAACTAGTATAAAGAATTTACTAGATAAAATGACCTCCTAATCTACCAAGAATCCTTAGCCAAAATTTCACCAAGAATAATTTTCCTGAAAGTCTGTGAAGTAAAATATAAAAATCTTACTAAAGCCAACAAAGAATGAATAAAAGAAATATTGTTTGCCCATTATAATCAGGATCCAGCAATCCTATGTAAGAATGCTTTGCTTTCTTGGGATTTGCACAAGTTGCTAAACATCATTTGTGCTGAGTCAATGAAGAAATCAAAGTCAAATATGGAAAACTTAACTTATTTCATTACTTATAATATTTGGCAATTAATCATTTACATTTTCATTTACTTCCTTGTTTATATTTGCCATATCAACTTGTTTTTTCATTCTTGTTCTCTGTGTGTCTTGTTTGTAAAGACTGCTAGCCTTGCATTGCTAAAGTGACTTGTGTGGCTTTTTATAGAAAGGAATTGGATGGGATGGTTGACAGAAGACCTCCTCTCATATAAGAATGGAATTGTAGCCTATATTGGTAGCACTTCTTTGGAAACTGCTATCAATGTCTGACATCACTGAAACCAGCTGACTGCCAAATCGTAGCTTACATTATATGCAGAGTCAGAGACAACAATTGCCTGGTAACCAAACAAGAGCCAAGAAATGATAGTCACAAAAGCATTTTAGAACAATTTGATTCAATTTTTTTTTTAAACTTAGCTGCCAAAAACAATGAACACAGCTAAGGACTATGTCAGAGTAGCAGAAAATTCTAATATTATATCTCAGAAAATTAGTTGTTTTCCAAATTACCTTGTGGATTTTAACAAAAACTTTCAGGTTAATATACTGGATTAATTTTAACTTCAAAAGTTTTTACCAATTTCTCAGATTTAATATTTATTATTTCATGCAGACATTATTTTGGAATTGTTCCTTTAGTTTTGATTGAGTGCAGTGAGAACTGTCTACCTGATAGTATCTGACGTAAGATGAACACAACCAAACAGCTTGGTAATGACACACTCCTTCCTATTGATTGTGTAACTAACTTTAAACAGATTTTTCAAAGATTTCACTCTCAAATACAAATAATATTTATATCATAATCTTTGTGTTACTGTTTGTACAAATTTCATAAAAATTAAATTAAGTTTTAAATGAAGGGCTTTATTTTCTCACGAAGAAATCAATATTTATTCAGATAAAGTTACATCATTCATTTTTGTTTTTCATTCTCTTCTTTACATCATTTTTTTATCTTTTAGTTTTCCATTCTTTTCCACAATTATATATTGTCTTTTTGTCATTTTGGTTTTAGCAATGTATTTCTTACTTATCTTAATTTTTAATTTTGCTTTTTATTCAGCAATTTTTTCACTTCTGTCTTGTAGCAAGCTGGTGAATTTGATTTACAAACAATACACAAATATGGAAAGGTCGCAGGGTATGTTTTCCAAATTTCCTTGTGGATTTTAACTAAAAAAATTCAAGTATACTGAAGTAATTTTAACTTTTAAAATATTTTCATTAATTTTTTTCCAATTTCTCAGATTTAATATTTATTATTTGATGCAGATATTATCTTGGAAGAGTCCCTTCAATTTTGATTGCAGACCCAAACATGCTTAAGGATATTTGTGTCAAAGAATTTTCAACTTTTACAAACAGATATGTAAGTAGTAATAATTGTATTTAGTTTTTGTTTTGAAATCTTTATACAATTTAGTTTAACTTAATTTGGTGCAAGACCACCACTGTGAGCTCCTCTAATGAGGACTGACAATAATATAAATGGTTTATGAAATTAGCTTATCAAAAGCCAGGCATCTATTGAAATCTTTTTGCACAAGTTAGTATTATTTATAAAGGACAAAATCATAATTTCAGTTACAACAATACATATGTTAAACTCTAATTGTTTCTACTGTTCAGTTAATTTTAAAAGCTTTGATTATTACATTTCTTGCTATGCACATATTCAACAATTTCTAAAATTGCTGTCACAGAGCTTTTTGCAGATATTTTAAAAATATTCTTGTTACAAGCTTTTTAGTCATTTATTTAAATACCAATTAAAGCCAAACTTTGTATATTGTATTTTGTGGTGCAAATATTTTCTATGCTTTCTGACTCTTCATGGTCTAAATTGTAAGAAATCAGTTTCACTCAGTTGGTCAATTTTGAGGAGGTGACTTGGGTTGAATATTTTTCAACAATTCTTATATGTAAAATTATTTTGAAAATATTGGAAATTGTAATGAAGATTTTCACATTTTTTGTGTTGATATTGATTTTGAAAAAATAATTTAATTAGCTTTGATTCTGAAACTAAAGAGGCATTCAGATATCAGAAACATCTTATAACAATAAATCAAGATTTTACAGCATTACTATTCTTAATTAATTGATGTATGGTATTTAAATATTCATTTTTAAAATATGCTATTGTCACCCCTATATATATAAAATTGATTCCATTAATAAAACTTGTGTTTGAAGAAGTCATTTAAAATGACAAAATAAGTAGCATAGGGATTTTTTCCAGTTTGTCATTCAATTACACTCTATTAGTTTAATATATAGTTTTCTAGATCATATCTTCCAAAATATGCTGTGCAAATGGTGTAGACTATAAAGATCAACACTAGAACAGATCAAATGCCCTGACATGGCATTTAATGAAAATTTAATGTATGATAATTGCTGATCAATGTAGAAATATGCAGTATTGTGTAATGTTTGGAAAGATACTCATGTAACTAATTTGTATAAAGCCATGTAGTAAATCCAAATCATCACAATAATTATTTTGAATTACAAATACACTTACCTGCAGAAATTACCACTGATAGACTAGAATTTTGCTATCTTGGAAATCTAAGTTATTTGTTGTATTGATCTGTTGTATTGATTTGTATTGGTCACTAAAGCTTAGAATGGGCATCTTCTATTTTATTTTTTCTTTCTATGTCAGAGTTCACCCAGAATTCGTAGGAAATCAGTTTTCAATTCATTTTTAACTGCAATCAAAGATGATCATTGGAAATTTATGCGAAGTGTATTGGCTCCTACCTTCAGCTCAAGACGAATGAGAGAGGTAATATTTGTCAAAACATTTTTCTCATTATTAATGATGTTAATGTTTGTTAAAAATGGAAATCTGTCTCAATGAATTAACTTTTTCATTGTACATAAAGAAAGCCGCTGCATAAGCTCTGCAATTGTCACTAGGAAGTAATTTTACTTGGTGTTCAGAGGGGCTTTTAATTTCTGATTAAATAACTATTTTCTTTTATAGCACTCATCTTGCCAGTAAGGTCTTTGAAAATATATGAAATTTGTACAGAGAATACTGCCTTAATTTTTCAACTAAATAATAATAATAATAATGTGAAATGGCATTATTTGTTCTGAATATATTAATAGACTTTCAACTTACATAGATCAGTAATGGTGAAAGTATAGAATTAACTATATAACAAACTTATTAGGTAAGTTATTTACTGTTTCTGTTGCTCCTCAACCCTTCAATTTATTTTGTGAATATTAAATTCTCCAAGCCTTCTTTCCTCATTAGGTGTCACAGAAATCTATCTCTTTCTGATTATAAATGTCCTTTTAGTTCCCATTTTCTTTAAAACTTCCTCATTGCTGCTCATATGTTCAGTCCATGGTATTCTCAGCATCCATTTGTAGGGTCACATCTCTGTTACTTTGTGCCTTTTCTTCTTCTTGCCCAGAATTCTTTGTTTCTAATGAAATTTTCTTATCTCTTAGTATTTCTTAATACATGCTTTCAGATATCTGTGTTATATTTTCATGAAGATTTGCAAATGTTATGCAATAAGATGTGTGTTTGTCATTCCAGTTTCTTGGAGTCTCTGTATAATTCAACAGAACACACCTGTTACTATCCCTTAATCTAAATGGAGGTAAAATTGGCTGATAACATTCAATACTTCCAAAAGCAAACTGGTAACATTCCATCTTAACTGAAAAGACCCTAAATTTTTTCCCGTCATGGTGAACAATTGCATTTTAAATGCCTGGCTTTGAACACCTACTGGGACTAAACATTCTGGCCCCAAAACACTCCTCATTCACACAGTGTTTAATTTTGCCTACATCAAACAGTGCTTGACTTCTATAGCTACACTACCTGTTTAACTATTTCAATACACATTTGTTATGTAGCTGATTTTGTTTCAACAAACTGAGATAGTGAAACTATCTAGACAACTGTTTCTAAATTTTTTGTACTTCAGTTTCAATTGATAAATTTGTAGAAATTTCTGGTCATATATTAAAACTGCAGAAAGAATTTATTTTAGTGTACACTATATAAAAATCTGTCTTTATCTCTGTTGTATTTAGATCATGAAATTGGTATAAAATATATTCCAGGTAAATGTCTTTAAAAGGTTCTTGTTTTATTTGCAGATGGCCCCTCTTGTTCAAAAGGCTGTTCAGAATTTAAAGGAAAATTTTGAAAGTTTTGCTGTAAATGAAGAAGAAGTTGATATTGTAAAGTGAGTATTTTCTCAAGAGAGCATTATTCTTAAAAAAACACACACGCGCACACATGCATCTCAGTTGATAAACAGGAATAGAAATTGAAAGAGATTGAAGAAAGGAACATTTATTTCTGTATTTTGATCTTTTTTTTTTTTTTTTCAAGTGTGTTCAGTGCCTACACAATGGATGTAATTGCCAGTACTGCCTTTGGAATTGAAGTCAACTCCCAAAAGACACCAGAAAACCCTTTGGTCAAACATGCCCGTTCAATTTTTCGGATAAACATTCTTCGGTCTTTATTTGTTTTACTCTGTAAGATTTCTTCTTTAAATTTTGTAAATGCAGAACTGTAATCATAAATTGCATGAAATATATGAGCAAACACTGACAAATATTTTTAAGCCTGTCATCAAATATCTCTTAATAGGTTTGATACTCAAAGTAGGATTTGAATTATACGACCATATAAATAAATTTTTCTGTGTTTCAGGTGTAAATATACAGTTAGGTATGACCATGGAACTAGTAGAGTATAAAGTTATAATTAAGTTCTGGTTTTTCAAGACAATACACCACAAAATTTTAGAGATGATGGTAGTGTATGGACCAGATTTCCTATCCTATAGTATTATTAAGTAATAATATTAGGACTGTAAACATATTTAAACTTCAAATGAATTGGTCCTTTGTTACTGGCTACCTACAGTCAGTCACTGATGGTGACAATATGTAAAAAGTGAAAATGATTGTCATATAATCATTTGGGAACTAGAGAACAAAGTTAAGACTATTATAGAGTCTGTTGAATAAAATCATCCATGAAAATCATCCATGATGCAGAATGTGTTAATCCAGTTGGTTTCTGTCTGCTTACATCATTTCAAAAAGAAGCTATTGTCTATTGTTCCTATTAACTTTTATGTAGCCATGTATCAGAAAAACATTATTATCCAACAAACTACACAGGATGACATTGACACAAAGACACAATTCAAACAATGGATGACTTCTTACCTCTCAAAAGGCACATTTCTACAGGCATTAATAAATGATGGTAATTTTCAGTCAGTTCCCTTGTTCTATAGATTCTTTGTATGGTCAACAGTTTTAAATAACAACTAGATCATCAAAGACCATCAAAGGAACACCAACTAATAATTAGGCCAGCTGCCATGGGCATATCTTGTGGGAGAAAATTTGTAATTTCATGTTTATCCCATGTATTTATTTTATGTTTACTATAAATGGTGAAGTGCAATGTTGCACTTGATTATAAAGGAAGTGACATGACAGTAATTTTTGTTTGTCTAAATTTAGATAAACCTCACCTTATAAACTTAGTAATTCCTCCTATCAGGTTAATATGAGAGTGGGTAAGCCCTATGATTCTCTTTAGAGAGGATTAACAAAAGTCTACCTAATAATCTCTTATTATGTGTCTGACTTTCACTGCTTAATGAGGTATAATCATAGTATGAATTTTTTATCATTTAACTCCAAGCAATTCAATAAAGCAACAAGGATGCAAGGGGTTACTGAGTGCTATTAGGCTATGAGAAAAAAAAAACTCTGTTAAGGAGAGAGAACAATAAAAGAACAAGAATTAAGAAGATAATGATTGACATTGCATTTAAATTTTTGAAGATCAAAGTTGACTGGTAAGCAAGAAGCTGGGAGAAAGTTCATAAAAGAGAAGTGCAATAGAAGAAAGTGTAAGCATAGAACTTACTGTTGCATCTAATCATTTCAATTGTAAAATAAAGAGATCTTGTCACCAATCTAATACTGTGTGTAAATTCATAAAGTCTATATACCAAAGAGGAAATTTATTAGAATAATTACCATGAAAGTATCTATAGAAAAGGTACAGGTTAGCTATGCTATAGCAGTAGGAAAGTAACTGAAGCTGAGATTCTAGGTCAACATTGCAGATTCCTCTTTGTATTTTATCAAGAATCTCCAAATATATAGCAGGAGCACCACATCAGATGTGACAACAATATTCAATGCAAGGAGAAATGGTAGACTTATAATGATAGATTCTAGCAAGAAATATTGTCTAGCATGACACAGTGAAACAACTTTTCTAGTGGTAGACCTAGCAATTCATTCAATATAATCTTTACATCAGGGAAAAACATTAATCTGGAAAGGTACAATGAGTCACTCTCCTGGAGGTGAATATCAGCCATGTGGATAGAAGGTATAAAAGGTTCTTTTATATGATTAAAAGAGAACAGTTACATTTTTGAGATGTTAAAATTAACAAGTTATTCTTTGTCTTAGTTAACAACAGATTGAAGGTAATTTTTGAGATTAGTTGTCAATTTGACTTTATCGAACTGATCACTTACAATTAAGACTGGAGTAAATAGTTGTGTCACCAGTATAGATACCAAGTTGAGAACTGATAACAAAGATAGATTACTGGGGACACTTGCATTAAATGCAAAAAGAACTAGAAGAGTGACCATTCAGGACAACAATTTGATAAGAAAGACTGAATGAGGTAAAGATTTCCCTCCAGAAATACCATAATCTTACAACTTGTGTAGAAAACCAGTATGCCAAACCCTGCCAAACGCCTTCAAGATATCCAAAGAAACAACCTGAGCTTCATCATTCTTATCTAAAGCTTGACAGACTCTTTCAACAATAATTGTTAATACATCAGCATTGACCTAGAGAAGCTAAAGCCATATTGCTTATCTGAAAGAAGACCTTGTGAGGTGAGATGTTTACCCAATTCAGAGTTAATTAGAGCATCTAGTACTTTACAAAAAGGAAGTAGGAGGCTAATAGTAGATAGAAGGATCAAATGGTTCACCTGAGTTCTTAAAGACTGGTACTAGAGAAGAGGATTTCCAACAAGCAGGAAAACAAAAGCAGAAAGGCATTTATTGTACACAGGAGCCAGTTCAGGAGCACATTTGTTAAGGACTATTGCAGGAATACCATCAAGTGCACATGCTTTGTAGGGATCCAGTTTAGAGATGATAGCAGAAACCAGGAAAACCGTGAGTGATATACATATATCACTCAGTAAAAACTCAGTTCTGAGTTAAAAGTCAGGCAAAGATGCTCCAGATGTGTTGAATTTGAAGAAAATTTATAAGCAAAACATTCTGCTTTATCAGCAGAAGTCCTTAAAATCTCAAATTGAGTAAAAAGAGGAGAAATAGAAAACTTACTCTTCCTTAACACACTATTAGAAAGCCTATAACACTATTGTAAATAACACTGTTACACATATTAAACTATTATAAATAGATTTATAAGCTAAAAATTTTAATACTCTTACAAATGAAATGAAACATTTATATATAGTTGTTATGAATATTATATTATTATTTTATAGTAATATAGTAACAATAAGTATTATTATTATCATCATTCTGTATTTAAAAATTGTATAAAATGCATACCATACTTTTAGTTCCTTTATCTGGGCCATATTTAAATTTTTATTTTTCTATATTTATTTAATTTGATTATTTAATTTTATTTTACTTTTTGCTTTCATAAAGATATTTTAAAGATTCAACTTACCTCTTCATTTGATTATCTCTTTAAAATGCAGATTAATTTTGTCAATGATTTCTATGATATGATGAATGAACTTTCATATTTTTTATCTTATGTTCTAAGTTCTCATTAGACCCATTTGGATAGTGTATCCTCTGATTGTATTGCTTCCAAGTCCTTTCAAAAAGTCAACAGCCTTTTTGCAAGAGTTTTGTGAAAATGTTATTAGTGTTCGCAAACGGGATAAAAGCAAGGTAAGAGTCATTTTGTTATGATACTTTCTCTTAAATTATTTAATTTATGACTAAATACTTGTTCCATTCAGTAATAAATTTGAAACCTACATTTCAATTTCTTTCATTAATTGTAAAGAGATTGAAAAGAGATAATTACATTTTGCTGAATACGGAAGAATGAATCAAGAAGAAAAACAGTAATGAAAGAAAAGAGGTAATGGAAAATGGCTGATTTTATGGTTTGCATATTTTCAGTTGTGAGGATCCAAAGTGCTGCCATTGCATGGACCATTGTTTAGTTTCTGAATTATAGTAGTACAGTTTCATTTCATCAACAGTAAAAAGTCATTTCAAAAATGATTACTAGATTGCTGTAGATACTATAAAATCAACTTGGTTGTGTCCACTTGATATCATTCCTAGTCAGCACCCATTTGGCTGATAGATTCTGCATACTCAACTGTATATGAATTATAAAGCCAAAGAATTCTTTGTATAAAACTTGTTTCAGCAACTCTTTTGGCCAAGATTTGTTGATTCTCAAAAGTTAGGTCCTGAACATGATCAACACTTGATACTGTTGAAGGTGACCCAAGCCATTCTGCATCTTGGGTCTCAATCTTCAATCTTTATTTGTGCGCAAATTCTTCACACTTGACTATGTTGGGCATTTGTCAACCAATGTTGGCACCGTAATTTCTACTACAGCAACAGCAACTTCATGATAGTTCAGTGCTCAATATTGGTTCAGTCAATGATCTGAAACAAACCAAAAAATAAGTACAAGAATGATGTAAATTGGTACTTTATAATAGAATTAAAGAACACTCTTTCCAGTAACAGTGATAAAAGTACTGCTCCAATTTTGGGATGGGAATCTAGCTGAGAACATATTAGCATCCCCTCAAACACTAGTAAATATTTTTGGAAAAAAGAGTATGTATATTAATGGGATTATTGCCAGTAAAGTTAATATAAAAGTATGCATCAAAGTTTGTTATGCAAAAATAGTTTTATTGATAAATTTAATGGATAATTTTTTAAATTTCATCTTGGAACAAAATACTCAAGCAATAAAATATTCTTTTGTGTTTGTTAAATTCTACAATTTTATATTAATGTATGTAAATATGATTTTTCTAGGCTCGTGATGATCTTCTTCAACTGATGCTTAGTGCACAGCTTGAAACAAGTTTGGACTCTGAAACCAAAGCTGAAATAAAAGATGAAGTTGAAAGTCTCAAGATAGAAAACTTACAAGATTGGAAAATGAAGAGAGGTATTTTTAATTTTTTTATGTATTTGCAAAAAGTAGATGCATACCTAACTACAGCACATATTTTTCTAAATATCAATCATAGAAACACTTTTAAATGTCTTAGAATCTATTTTATCTAATAGAAAAAATTCACAATCAAGATAGTTGTATACAGAAGTAACTAAACTTTTGGTTAGTCTCTTACCTCAACTGATAAGAATTTTGCAAGTATACAACGAGTCACTGATGTTTTGTTTTTTTAGATGAAATGAGGAAGGTTAGTGTTAACATTGAGGAATATCTTGGAGATCCCATGCCTAATCTCCTGCTTCCAATTTATTGTTTGATGAATTCAAGATTTCAAAAGTTAGATTGTATTTGATGATGCAAAACTCAAAATATTCACTGGTTTTGGAGACAGTGGAGAAAGCAAAGTTGTCTCACTCCTTGCAAAACAATTTAAGGAGATTCAGACAGCAAAATCTAATTGAAAAGATTGCAACAGAAAACTAGATAGTGACAATAAAGCATGTATAGAATTTAGCTAAGACACATCAATGATTAGTGTCCTGGTCTTGTAAGCCATTCACTCAGAGGTTGTCCATGGATATGACCTAGTGCTAAAATTAGTGTACACCCATCCTAAAAAGAAGGATTATGAAAACCTTTTTTCTAAAATCTTTTTAATATCTCTTAACTTATTTAAATCCACAGTTTTCTTTCTAAATTCTCTTGGGCAAAAGGAAAAGAATTGGTTTCTGTTTTATTGATTTCAGATATGTTATTTTTTTCAATTCATGAAATTAGAAACCTGAAAAAGCTTCTTTTAAAATAGTGCTTTCTTCTAAAATAGGTCTCAAAGATGAGGAAGTGGTGGCTCAGTCAATCTTGTTCCTTATTGCTGGATATGAAACAACATCAGCAACTCTCTCATTTCTAGCTCACAGCTTGGCTTTGAACACAGATATTCAAGAGAAATTATACAATGAAGTCATATCTATTTTAGGAGAAGTAAGTATTGCTTTTTAGGAGAATTTTGTCTAATATGGTGTATATATTGATTTCTCTTTACACAGATATGAATACACAGATATATATGAAGAACTTACCAAAGTAAAACATTCTATACATTTATGGCAAAGAGTATAAGCATGAAACCAGTTGAAAAACTGTAATTTACAGACAGGCTTAAAAATCATGCGTGACTGAACATGAATGGAATGAGATGGAACAAGCAGTCCAGTTTTTATGAAGTTAAATAATGAAGTCAAAATAAGATTTGAAAGAATGTGCACACTTGTCATGCACAGATAGCTTAATCAGACAGAATAGACATTAATAGCTTGTGGGAAAGAACAAAGAATGAACTTGGGGTTTTATTGGTATAGCCTGTGAGATATGAATTCCAGTAAATATTACAGGTTCAATGTTGTGGTCAGGAGAAAACAAAAGCTACAGATATAGCAAAGTAAGATTTGATATTCCACAACAAACGTTCAACAAAGGCAAGATGGTAAACAACCAAAATATCGTAATAATACATACATAGATAGCAGAGTTTGGGACATTTTTGTTCTATCAGGTTCAAGGACTGAATGCACAACTTATAGGAAGCCAGATCCCTAACACCTTAATTCATAAGGCCAAGTGAAAATTTATGAGTCTCCTGGTTCAGTGGAAGAAACTAACAAGAAACAAAAAGTTGAATAAGACTGATGAGTATTAACTGATATGAAATAAGCTTGGAAAATGAAATGAGAACAATCTACCCCCATGGATTAAATAAAGGGTTTGGTTCAAAATTCTGATAAGCTTACCAAGTATAAAGGAAAAAAAGTGGAGGATGCAACAGCCATAATATTATGAGTACAACAACCAAGATGAGCTTCTGGTCAGAATAGCAAATTATATATAATAATAATCAAAATAATAATATTACCTTGTTTGAAAATTCTGATGGGTTATACATGGTAGTAGAATAGGCCTCAATAACCTGTTTGTCTTCTCTGGACCATTTTTGTCTCCTCTATGAATGGGAACTGTTGATGTTGGAAAAGGATTGGTATCAGGAGGATGTATCATGTTGTGGGCGACCTCCAGCTTCATATTGTTGGGGAGATGTGAACCAACATCGGACTTTTCAATTTCAGACTGGTTCCTCTTTGTTGACACATGCAATTACCAATCCTGTATGAATTATGATTAGTTGCCATTTCAACATGAAACCTTTTGTAAGTAAAATCATATAAAGACTGTTGTTTTTATTGAGACATCATCTCAAGATAGGTTGTCTACTAACACTCAAAGAAGCAGGTTGTTCCATGCTGGTTGCTAATTCAGTATATTGCCTAAGAGGTTTTACATCAGATGCTTCCTTGTCCAAAATTTGTTTCTTATATATATATGACCATTATCCATATATATAATAGCTATATGGCAAAGGTCTTCTTTGAAATAAAAAAGTTCTGGTTTTTACTGTGAAAAAAGACAAAACAACGTTTTTTGTTACTCCAAGAATATTTTGCAGTAAATAGATACATATTTCTGTTGTTTTTTAATTCCTCTATTTTTATTCATATTTTAATATGCACATATTATGAATTCTGACTAGAGCCTGTAAATATAAGTTTATAATACCACACACATATTTTAAATTATCACTATCTTTAGTTTCCCATTATTTTTCATTTATTTGTAGGAGTCAGCTAATTATGATAATGTTCAAAAGCTTCCTTACCTTGACATGTGCATGTCTGAAACACTGAGAATATATCCTATTGCCAGCAGGTAAGTAATTAAAACTTTTACCTGATATATGAACTAGCCATCTTTATATCAGTCACTTCTAATCAGAAAATTTCACAATTAAAAGTAAACATAAATTATTTCATTTACATAAAATTTCAAACTTTATTATATTTTCTGAATTAGATCAACTACAGGATCAAAACTACATAAGTAATCAAGATCAAATGTACTTGTCATGGTTTAGGAGATGAAAAGTAAACATTACACAATGATAAGCAATGGTGAATGCTTGACTATTGCAGTAATATAATTTATATATAGATAAAAGGATAAAAAAACACTAATAAATATGTTAGAATAAAGAAAACATATTTAATCATGAAAAAAAATGAATTTCTATGATACAAAATTTATAAAATCTCTTTATATTTTGGTTATTCTTTGTTTGTAACAAAAGAGTAAGAAAATCAAATCAATATAGGCATAACAATTGTAAATAAATTAACATACTAAAATAGAAACAGACTAAGATATGAATACAGAGATGAAATATATAGACACATGTAGTAGTATGGCTGGCTGCTCATATTTAAACATGCCTGTGTGTGGCTAGTTAATCCTTATTGCAGACATCCAGATTAAGTTTCTACTATAGTAATTTATTCAACACCCACAGAGCCAACCTGTGGTTTATACTGCTACTATGCTGAACAGAGTTTAGTAACATTTTTGGTGAGAGAAAACATAAACTAGCATCATCACCAAACAAGGCCAGTACACTCAAACCCTCAGTCACAATGACTTGTAACTTTGTATTAGCAATCTAGGTCCTAATGTATAGGAATACATGGATTTAGGTAAGAGATCACTTTCAAAAAAAAATAATCCTTTATCATTAAAGAAATTCTGTAGCTTAAAAATTTCAAGTAGTGAAATTTTTAAGCTACAGAATTCACTTTCTGCTTTTTTTTTCTTTCTTTAAATAAAACTAGGTTTATAGACTTTCTTTTATAACTTACTCTAAATTTATCTGTGGTTTCAATATACCTGAAATCTGATTAATGAATATTTGAAAGTAAGAATAATGAAAGGATTATGAACAGAGTCAATCTGACAGCTATATATGAGTTACTTCTTAAATGACACACTTCATAGTAAGTAATTTGACTATTGATATTGTAATATCAAATTCTATACATGATTGAGACTATCATACAGATGTTTTTTTATATTTAAATTAATGTCTACAAACATTCTGATATGCATTTAGCAAAAGCACTCCTTACAGAATATATACTTATATTTACTGTATAGAACATTGAAAATATACAGATTCTGAGTGATAGTTACTCTGTTATTACAAAATAAATAATGTGCCACCCTTAAAAATTGCCTTTATAATATTTCATTATCCTTAATTGATGACTAATATTTTAGAGGAAGAAAATAACAAAAACTTCAGTTACCTCATCTATTTCCTTTTATTTCTACAGGAGCTTTTATATTTTTCTATGGGTAAACTGTCAATTCTATCAGTTCATCCCATAAGTTCTGTCCAAACTTTTTGTTAAAATGAACGAAATTTAAAGAGTATTTTATAATGTCTAATGGATCTGAACATTATTTTTATGTTTAGATGCATTTAAACTGATCAAATTTTATTTCAGAGAAGAATAAAATTAAATTTTATTTGATTAAAGCCCTGCTAACGTGGAAGTACCCAAGAATCATTTGAGACACATAATGCTTTATGAGTTCACGAAAGGAAACTCAGCAGCTGAAGCGGCTAGAAACATTCACTCATTTTATGGAGAGGAATGTGTGAATGAAAGAACTTGCAGAATTCAGAGGTGGAGATTTCACCCTTGAAGATGAATATCAAACCGGACGTCCAATTGAGTTTGATGAAAAGCTTCTTGAAGCAGCCCTTGAAGAAAATCCTGTTTTATCAGTTGAGGAATTGGCAGAGGTTCTCAGTTCAAACCATACAACTATTCACCGTCATCTTCAACAACTTGGAAAAGTTCCTAAACTTGCTAAATGGGTGCCTCATGAATTGTCTGAAAACAACCTCAAATCCCGAGTTGATATCTGCTCTTCTCTCCATTCTCGCAAACTTGTTTCACCTTTTTTGGACAGACTTGTGACTGGTGATGAAAAATGGATCTTTTATCGAAATGTTAAGTGCCGTAGACAGTGGCTTGGTAAAGGGGAAGGACCCCAACCACAGCCGAGAAGGGAATTTTTTGGGGCAAAAGGTTCTTCTTTCAATCTGGTGGGATCGCCAAGGAATAATCCACTTTGAATTCTTACCACCTAATGCAACAATTAATGCTCAAATATACTGTCAGCAACTAGAGCATTTGAACTAAGTTTTGAGGAAAAAAAGACCTGTTCTAGTGAATCAAAAAGGGGTGATGTTTCATCAGGACAATGCACGACCCCAGACAGCAAGAATCACGTCACAAAAGATCGAAGAACTTGGTTGGGAGAAAATTCCTCATCCACCTTATTCTCTCAATCTTGCTCCTTCAGACTACCATTTGTTTCGTAGCTTACAAAATCATTTGGAAAAAACAGCTTTTGTAACACAGGAAGAGGTTAAAACTGACATTTGTGAGTTCTTCGAATCGAAGCCAAAAGAATTTTAACAGTAATGGAATTAGTAAGCTTGTTAATAGATGGAAGGAAGTCATAGATAATCAGGGAAGATACATTATTGATTGAATCTGTAATTAAATGTAACATTTGGTCACTTGTTTTCTTTGTTCAAAATTCAGACAGAACTTATGGAATGACCTGATAAATGGAATTTTACTTTAAAGAAGCCCATTATTATTTCTAGAGTCAATCGAGAAGCCAAAAGAGACATATGTATCAGAGGATGGACAATTCCAGCAGAAACTGAAATTGTCATTCCAATTTATGCACTTCACCATTCTCCAGAATATTGGCCAGAGCCAGAGAAGTTTGATCCTGAAAGGTAAGTGATAACAATAATTTCAGGTAAATGAAACCAGTAGTTTTAGAGTATATACCTTATCCAAATGCTTTAAAATTGAATGCTTTAGTAGAATCATTTTGCTTGAGGTGTTTCATTAGATAGAAAGTATTACTGAATTGGAATCTTGAAACATTTCCTTCATTTCATGACAATGCTTGGTTTTGCACATTTATAAGTAATGGAAAAATCAAGTGAGTGTGTTAGTACAATAGGTCATAACAAGTAAGACAAGAAAAATCAAAGTGAGTGTGTTATGATAATAGGTAATAACAAATAGGGCAGAAAAAAATCAAAAGTAAGCATGTTATTACAATTTCCTTCTAAAATATAGTTCTATTAAAATTTCTCTTAGTAAAATACTTTTTTTAATTATTTTGTTTAAATTCCTTTATAATGAAACTTCTCAGTTTAATTTCTTTTTAAAAACAAAAGAAGAAATTTTTTCAAAAATAAATTAGATATAGAATTATTTTTTTTTAATTTTTTGGTCTGGACTTTCTATGAAAAGATGCAGATTTATGAGGTTTTTGTTGGTTAAATATTTTGATCATTCCAATACTGCAAGAAAACTAATGTGCTAAGTACTATCAGGATAGCAAACACTTGATAATAACCATGGTGTTTTAACAACTCTTTAACATTCCAATTAATCATTATTAAATACTACTTCCTCTGTTATTACTTCACAAATGTAATAATAATAATAATAAAGAACCACAAGATCATACCTACCTATGAAAACACCACTATAACAGTGGTGTACTAATGAATCTTGACAATCATTTCAGCTGCACACAAGTTCTCGATTTTAAAGAAACATAAATTACTTATAGTTTAAAAAGGTAAGAAAAATAGTGCATCTATACATAATCAATATTATCAACATAATTACAACACCACATACAAAGAGGGAACAAATTCACAACTTGTACTCTATGATTCTTTATCTTTGAATCAATTGGAATAAATTTTAATGTTTAATTCAATTAAATATTGTCAACAACTTATTACTGCTATTATATGTTGTTTTTGTTTCAATTTTTTCTTCTTTATAAAGATACAAAATAAAGATGATGATAAAGACATTCCAATAAATAACCAACAAAGTTGCTAAATATCTTAATCAGCTTCATTTATTTGTAGATTATTTAAAATTCTTGCCATTAATTTAAAGTATATATTTTATTTTTATTCTTAGATTTACTCCTGAGGCAGTGGCTGCTCGTAAACCCTTTACTTATCTTCCATTTGGTGCAGGACCAAGAATTTGTGCTGGCATGAGATTGGCACATATGGAATTGAAAATGGCTATGGTTGAAGCCATTCGAAAATATAAATTTATTCCCTGCTCAAAGACTGAGGTAAATTCTGCAAATAAATCTATTTTTTCATTTTATTTGACCACAATTCTATTTTTATAAGAAGCTTTTTGGTTATTTAAGTTTTTAAGTAATATTATGTTGTGACAAACATTCCTAATGTAATCATTTACAAAATGCTTAGGAAATTTTATAAATGTCTTGAAATATACTTTTGCTGAAAAATTTATAATGATTCCTGTTTTCAGTTTCTCATTTGTTACATCAACTTATTATCATTTATTTTTTTTCTTTAATTTTATGTTAATATTTAAAATTTTCTTTTGTTATAACTGATCTAAAATGGGAAAATAAAGGCTTTAGAATGTTTTATTCTATTCCCATGGTCAGAGTTGATAATTTATTTCTTTTGATGTCAGATTTAACTTTTTTATTCATTTAGCTTCTCTAAATCAACATCTAGCTGTTTTTCTTATTCGCAAGATAATAAATATTAATATTTAAAAGTGCAAGATTCTGATTTACAAGCACTAAATGCACTGAAAAAGTTAAATTGGCAACTCTGATCATGATGTGGTACAGTGGAAGCAATAAAAGGGTTTCAAATTGAAAAAGGACAATCACGTGTCTTGCATTAGAAGAAAACAAGTTTAAAAAGATAAAATAAGATTTTCTCCTGATTCTGATAATTTATATTTTCATAGCAAAATGACATGACAAATGCAGGTTTTTGGTTTTTGTTTTCCTTGATGAGTGTTCTGTTATTATTTTCATACAGATTTGAATTACAAGTTAACATTTAAGGATTCAAGGAAAGAGATTGTTCGTTTTTGAAATAATATCTTAGTGCTGTCCCTAATAATAATGCCCTGTGACATGATGATATTTTTATTTCCTTTTTTCTTAATATCATTTTTTGTCTTTTGATCCAAATTCATCTGGATGTTAAAGATATTAAGTCTCCTTCAATTTTCAGCTCAGTTGTCTTGCAAATCACACTCTATTTGCCAAAGGATTTTTGTTTGTTCCTGATGAATATCAGCTCAATTATCTGATCTTCTGGCTTGGACAATGTCTTCAATTTATATTGTAATGTTACAAAGTATTTTACTTTTCCTGTTCTCAATGACACTGTGCCCACACTATTAGCTTATATAATAAAATTCAAGTCTTTTCTTTAATTCCTAGTGAATCACTACATGACCAAGTCTTAGCTGTCTTTATATTTTTGGGGAGCAGCATTCTCTAAAAATGTCACTACTCTGCTCCATTCTCCACAAAGACAAAACATTTGCTATTGCTTTCTAATATATGACACTAAGATAAAATGACACTATGATAAATAGTCCTCATTTATTACTATTTTCCACATAGTCATTTCAAGTTTATTCCAACTACAGTTTTTAATCTTCTGTAAATTTAATTTTTTTCATATTTTTATGATTCTCTTTTGATCAGTTTTTCTGACTTTTTGTTAGTTTTTTGCAATTTCTGCCATGTGTAAAATTCTCACTATTCTATTGTTCAAGGCAATAATCCTTCAAATTCTGCATTATTTCTCTCTTGCCAAAAAGTGTTTCAAAGACACCAAATTAATGGAATGGCCTCCAGCTTCTCTAAATATTAATCCAATCAAAGCCCTGTAAGACATGAACATTATAATGGAAACCAACATTCAAACAAAAAAAGATCTTTTCTTGAATATTGTTTTGAACAATGTAAGCAATTAAAATAACAGCAAAAAATGTTAACTATTTACATTATTTGGACTATTGTCCTCATCTTTGTCACCATATTTATCACAACGTTTCAGCCATTGTACACTCCGGCCTTCTTCAGATGGTTGTGATGTCAAACTGAACACTTTATTTCACTCACTGAGGTAGACTGTTCTAGTTCCACGTGCCATGTCTAATGGATGTCAGTTATCAGTTAATTCCACACTCCAAATTCTCCACTGCCTTAACTAGGTATTGAACTCACACTCTTTGGGTTCTGTCACTGGATCTAACCAACACCTTTATCCACTGTCCCCTGTGTCATCTGTGTATGAATTTCTGGGTATTATAAACCTAATGTCTTCAACAACCATTTTTACTAGTTCTCATATTGCAATTTTGCTGTTATCAAATCATGTTTTACCAGAGCTCATATTGCAATTTCTGTTATTATTATTGCTTTTCTCTGGCACTCCCTATTACTGGTTCCAATATTGTATTCATTTCTATGCTTGGTCGGCTCAGGAAATTTTTGTGGCCTAGCATATGTGCTGATTCCTTAAGTTTACAAATTTTCCAATGGTGTTCATTGTTTATGATCTCAACCTGATCCCACAGAGGGCAGTGGCTCCCTTTTCTCTCCACATGTGGTCAGCCATGTCTGATTTTTCCATTTCCCCTCGTGTTACAGCTTTATGGAGTCCTTGAAGCCTTAAGGGGGCAGCCTGTCTCCCTTTTGTATTTCTTTCTGCACCTGCACGGGATAGTGTACACACAGTCTTTAGTCATGTTCTCCTCTATGGAGGGGGTCTTACTTGGGAGAGATATCTGCAAAGTGGTGTCCAGCTTTTGAAGGTTGTCCTGATGTTATATGGACCACAAATCCTTTGTATTTTCTCTGATAACCCCTTTCACATGAGGTAGGTAGACTGTTTTCTGATTGTTGTTGTCCACCTCTTGTACCTGCCTGTCCCAGTTTTTTGGATCTGCTGCCATGTACCTAGAGTAGTTGTTACATTGTAGGGTACTATTTATACTGACCAATTCTTTATCTAATGTCTCTGGTTCGCCACTTATGACTTTTGCTTGGTGTTGTAAGCAGCAGACAATCCCTTTCTTTACACAGTATGGATGGTGGGAGTTGAATGTCCAGTTCGGTGAATGTCAGTTTATGGATGTCTTGAATCCATGCACTGTTTGAGATATTAGAACATCCAGGAATAGGAGTGTGTTGTTACTCTCTTTCTCCATCATGAACTGTATCAAAGGTCCTATTGAGTTCACATTGTCTAGCAGAACCTGAACATCTCCCTGCTATGGCCAGAGTATGAAAGTTTAATCTACGTACATTAACCATATTCTAATGCCATTTCCTCAAAGTATTCCATGTATATATTCACCATTCCTGGTGATAGTGGTGAACCTATTGCTAAGCCCTCATCTTCTCAATATATGTGTGATCCCATTCTGAAGTGTGTTGTTTGTAGACAGAAAGTCAACATCTCCATCAGATTATCTATTGGAATACTGGTCTGTCTCTAACTACTGAGAGTGCCTCCTCTGTGGGTACCTTGGTGAACAAACTCACCATGTCCAAGCTCACCATCTGGTTGGATAGGATGGGGACATCTTTGATTATTTCCACAAAGTGGGCAGAGTTTCAAACATATGAAGGAGACTTTCCGATAAATGGGTCAATTATATCTACAAGGAAGCAACTCAGATGGTGGCACACTCAGTCTGAGAAGAATACTGTCTTTGTGAATCTTAAGGAGACTGTATATGTGAGGTAGCTTGGTGTAATGCTGCGATAACTGCCTATACATCTTAGGTGCAAAGTGATCTTTGTTCATGATTAGTATTTGTGACAATCTGCGTTCTGTTTTCATTGTAGGATCCTTTTTTACTTTGCTGTAACTACCATTGCTAATGTCTTCCAGCTTTCTTGTATAATTTGATTTGTCCATCACTACAGCTGCATTGCCTTTGTCAGCTGGTAGTATGATGATGTTTTTGTTCCTCTGTAGGGATCCAATCGCCAGCCTCTCCAGTTTCGTGATGTTTGACCTGGGCAGCTTGGCCTTCTTCAAGGTCTGTCTCACCTTCCATCTCAGTTCATCCGTATGAGCCTGAGGGAAGTTCAAGGCCACCTCCTCGTCTCTGGCAATGATGTCCAAGTATGGCACTCACCAGATGGTTGTGGTGAAGCCGAGACCCTTATTCAATACTGACTCCACAGAGGCACTCAGCTGATATTGGCTGATGTTGACTACTGCTTTCACTGGTGGGTGATGGACCTTGTGCGTCACCTTCTGATCTTTCAATCTATTTAATTTTTGCACTTGGTGAGCCTTGACTACATCGAACACATGGCACAGTGGATAAAGGCATTAGTTAGATCCAGTGACAGGACCCAAAGAGTGTGAGTTCAATACCTGGTTAAGGCAGTGGAGAACTTGGAGAGGTGAATTAACAGGAGATAACTGATAACTAACATCCATTAGGCATGGCACGTGGAACTAGAACAGTCTACCCCAGTGAGTGAAATAAAGTGTTCAGTTCGACATTCCAAACACCTTCTTCAGGTGGTTGGAAGTGTACAACGGCCAAAACATTGTAATAAATATGGCGACAAATACTCCTAATAATGTAAATAGTGTACATAATACCTCATATATAGACAGAAATAATGTGAAAGGCAAAAAATAGAGTGAAACAAAATCAATGGAACATATAAATGTTATTGAAATAATATATATATATTATTATTATTTTATTATTATTATTATTATATCAAATAATAATTTATTTCCATTATATGTTACCTTGATTTGTATAATACAATTTGTTCTAGTGTAAAAGATTATTTCCTCATTTATTTTATTTTATTTGTTAGTTTATCTTTGTTAGTCTTCTGGTTGATTTCATCTAACATTTAATTTATAATTGATCTCTTCCATTCTTTGCACTGTTTGAAGATTGTGTTGGGGGTAAATCATTTGCCATTCTGCTTTTCTTTGCACAATTTCCAGTTTGATTTGTTATTACTGTTTCTTTGCTTGAAAAATCATAAATCTATAACTATATTTAACTATAATTTATTTTCAGTATCCAATCAAGTTTAACAATGGAATCATCCTGAGTGCCAAAAATGGTATTTGGTTGAAGGTAGAGAGACGGTAGGCATCACTACAATTTAATGCACAATGAATCAAGATGACTAATGCACAAAGAACCAATCTGACTAATACAAATGAACAAATGTGATTACTTGATTAGGAATTAAAGAATTATTCAGGATAATCAGGAATCTTGAAGTGTCTTTAACAATTACAACATTTCAGTTGGCAAATCTCTAACTTTCTTTGAGTAGAAAACAACATACATACCGTTAAATCTATTTTCATAACAATTGTTTATTGTAGTTACATGCTACTTGTAGTGAGAGTGACATTTTATCATATTATTCTCTTTAATTGTGTGTGAATATATTTATGAATAATAAAGGAAAGTTGTGTCAAATTTTGTAAGAACCAACATTTTTTTAAAGAATAAAATAGTGTATTCTTTGGAATTAATACTTAATTATAACTGATTTTTATTGACAGCCTCATCATTAGAGGTTAGATTTATGTATTATTACTAAAAATAAACACTGAAATGTTTACCATGTTTTGTCTCAGGTTCAACTTCCATCAAGACCAGGTAATCACTCATTTATCAAAGAAAGGAGTAACCAATTTGATAAATGAGTGATTACCTGACCTTGTTGGAAGTTGAACCTGAGAGAAAACATGGTAAACATGTACTAAATGAACACTGACTATGAATTAGACAAATTGGGAGCAGACCGTAATTTGAATAAAAAGTGTTAGACAAGAATTAGTTTTGTATTATACATTGATATTTTTTGTTGTTTTGTCTCAAAAGAATAAAAAATAATTTCAACTTTGAAAACACTGCCAATTTTAGAGATTGAATTGGGAAATGATTATTAGGCTGTCATTTACTGATGCCAACAAAATAAAACATGGTATAATAAATTTAAGTATGCATCAGGCATTCAGAGAGAAAGCAGGTTTCTGAGCTGAGCTCTTGCTTAATTTTAAATTTCAAAAATGTATTTGGCATATTTTGATTTGTGAGAAAACATGCATTTGTTTTTCATCCAAAACCAATAAAAAGGTTTCCCTCAAATTCTGAGAAGTGTATTTGGAGCCTACCTGTAAGTTTTTAAAGGTGAGCCTTGGATTTGATTTTCGGAGTCAACAAACAGCTGCTGCAGGAATCCAGGTTGCTCCAGTCCAGAAAGAAAACAACGCATAAGAAATTTGACAGCCACCAAACAAGAATTGAAAGGTCATTCCCATATCAAGGAAAAGTCTTCGGCTGATGTGCTTGATCTATTCTTTGCTGTTAGCATAAACATTGCTTTGAAAATTATACTAAATTATTCTTTCAAATCTATTCAGAGAAGTATTTCTTATTTTCTTCAATTTATGTAGTTTTATTTTCTGAGGACCTTCTTATACAGCATTATAATTTTAATTGTAAAAAGAAAAAGCATATTTCATTTTCATTGATAATTTACATACATGTTATTGGCCATCATTTGGCATGCAAAGCACTTAATTTGTGTAATTCATTTTTTTGTATGTTATGAATAAATTTCCATGTGTTTTTTTAAACTTGTCATGTGCTGTCTTTGTTGTGTTCCATATAACTTATATTGTTACCTCAAACATTTGTTTGAACTATTTTTTCGTCAGGTGATTATTACCAAAAATGTCCTATAACCGTCCCTCAGTTTATGTTACTCTCCTTACTAGGCGTACTATTTACCGTGTTAGATATTTAATATATATAGGATATTTCATACGAAAATGAACATCAATAAATTAGACACTCTTGAAGTTGAGGAGGAAAGAATGAATACTTTTAACCTTTTTAATAATTTTGGTTATTTAAACTTAAGTAATTGTACTGTTATTTTTTAACTTTATTACTTTAATATAGATCATGATTTTTATTTTCACATGATCATACAGAACATAAATTTTCTCTTTATTTGAAAAGCTCTAATTCTGTGTATCTACTAATTATCATGTCGTGTGGTTGCAGGGTTAAAATAAACAGTTTATTTACCCTAGCCAAGAAGATTAATGGAGGATGATAACGACTAAGAAACACGCGGGTAATTTTGACAAAACAAAACAAGGACCTTATTGCTTGAAATTCTGTCATTAATTCATTTCAGGAAAATAAATCCAAAATACAACAGATTAAATGATCTGACACAAAATAATATTCAAAAACGTTTCAAACAAAGATAAGAGAGTTTGTTGTTCACAGAAGGGATATACAGATTCCATACATTCAAAAGTAGACAAAGAGAGTGTGAAATACTTAGCTTTCTTGGATTGTTGAGAGAAAATTCTTTGAAGTCTCGTGTTTCTTTATTAAAGGCTGATAATATAATTAGCGAGTAATTTTACACTGGTTGCTGTCCGCGAGGAACTGGAACGAAACCTTTTACATGACTTCAGATACTCTCCTCTTGATTTAACTTTTCTCCTCATTTTACATCAAAAGGAATTTCGCATAGCCTCGCTATTTACTTTTCTTTCTTTTTTTTTTTTTGGCTTAACAGCTAATTTCTTTGAAGACAAGAATTTCATTGTTCCAAAACAAATTGGCTTGCAAATTTCCAATTTCTGTGATGGCAAGGCTTTCATTTGTCCAAAGAAAATTTCATTCGCAAATTTCTTTCCGTCTTTTTCCTCGCCTCATTCAAAATTGAAGGTAGTGGTTAAAGGGAGCTATTGTTATTTCGTACTCACCACTGGTTTGGGAAAAATTAACCTAATTTGGTCTATATTAGGTCATCAAAGACTTTATTAGGTCAGTATATGCAGTTAATTTTTTACACTATAATCTGTAACACATTTTATATAGTTTGCGTATGGTATAAACAATATTGATAATTGTTATGGTCCAGGTTAGGACCAAGGAAGAACAACACGAACACAAGAGTAGAAATAACAAAGGTATATTACACGAAAAAAGATGTGGAAGGTGTTAGTATGACTGTCAGTCTGGTTGGGAGTGAACTACTATCGGCTCGACTCGATTCCGTGTATAGCCACACCGCCACGAGGGTTGCATATGGCACAAGGCCGAGTTTAACGTGGGTTTCCCGAGCCCGTATGCTCGGTATAAAAATGCCCGTAGAACCCGTATAAACGGGATCGGGTGGGTCAACCTCCCAGAACCAGATTCTGCCCTTCGGCGGAGCATCGTCCGGGTTCCTCTCTGCTCAGAGGCAGAGAGTTCGACCGTGAAGCAGAGAAGCTCGGCTCGATTCGGTATCTAGCCACCTACCCACGAGGGTTGCATGTGGCACAAGACAGAGTTTAACGTGGGTTTTCCGAGCCCACAAGCTCGGCCAAAATATGCCCGTAGAACCCGTGTAAACGGGATCGGGTTGGTCAACCTCCCCGAACGAGACTCTGCTCTTCGGCGGAGCCTCGTCCGGGTTCCTCTCTGCTCAGAGACAGAGAGTTCGACCGTCAAGCCGAGAAGCTCGGTTTGATTCGACCCTCTCTCTTGAGAGGCGTAGTACACATAGTGTTAGGGAGAGTTCATTCTGTACTTATAGGTAAGGACCCATGACAATAATTTTAAACGAACAATGAGAAAAATCAATTTCACAAAAAATAATTATTCTCACGTTCTGGTCTGTAACTTTTCCACAAATATTCCAGATGGAGGATTAGTAATAACTACATAAAATTCACGTACCAACGATTCGAAATTTACCTTTGTGACGATTATACGTTAAATGTTAATTCTCCTATACTATCGTGCCTGAATCGTTGACCGTGGAATAAAAAATTTACAGACAACGTTCTACAAAATATGTTCGATGTTTTCAAGGCATAAACGAAGACAAAAGCAATTGAAATGGCTTAATTAAGAAGAATCCATAAAACCGTTTTAAATTTAAATAGAAAAGTCCCTCCAAAATATAGGATTTCCAGTCTTTGAGACCATTTCCACTACTCCAAAAATGATTCACCCCACTGTGTCACCTTCTTGTTCGATAGTTTTTCTTCAGTTCTTTGATGATATCCCGATGATAATCTAATTTTTAAAATTTTTCTTTTCTTTTAAATCTTCTTCAACATCGACTTCCAAAATTTGTTACTTCTTCTACTTCACGATAGTTATATCCGATCTTCTGGCTTAGATTGGGAGATTATTTGAATCTTAAAATCATCGGGGATTCATTTGGCGCTAGCATCAGCATCATTACATTTTGAAATGAGTATTTTTTTTATATTTCAAAAAAATATAAATATTTCAATTAACAAATTTAAGTTAGTTAAAAGCAAGTTCCTCTTTTGGAAAATCAGTGGCTTGAAAAAAATCAAGGGAAATTTGACTCTCAGCAAAGTCTTCGTTTTTTTTCCGATTATTTTTTCATACCAACGATTCATTTTTCAAATGAGGTAATAAGATAAAAATTGCTTTCCTTTGAGTATAATATAACGAAATTTTTCTAATCGCTTCAATCTGTCACATTTGTTTAAATATCATATATATTAAAGAATTCTTAGAACATTTTTAATTTGTGATTTAACTAATAAAAGTCATTTTTACAAAGTCAAAAATGTTGTTTTTCTGCTACTGAACAGCTTTAGCCAATATGTCAGCCTTACCCAATATATCAGGTTAATTGCATATCTCTAATTTTGTAGAAGCTGGGTAAAGGGAAGCTTTTCATTTTTTTTTTCTTTCTTATAATTCAAGTCTTTTCCTCATTGAAATGGACAGAGGCTATTTTGTCAAAAGGAAACTGGTATCGAGTCGCCAAGAACATTTCCAACATCCCATCTTCAACACCTAAGCACTATATAACCAGTCATAAATCAACGAAAGTTATTTTTAAATCAATAACAATCCATGAAACAATAAATATTATGCGCTAACTTTTTCGATTTTTATAGAACGGCTCGGCGTCAGATTGTCCACCTCTTTAACAGTCCAGACAAACTATAATCTGACAGTTTTAGTGTAAAGAAAATATTTACTGTGACACATACCAGCGCAACAGAGGGATACGGACAAAGTTTTTCACGGAGTGTTCAACACAATTTGAATAATATTTTAATTAATTCACA